GAAGAGCTGAAATTAGTTTCATTTGGAGATGATATAGACATACCTGGAAAAACCAAGATAATCAATGGAAAATGATTAGAAAGAAGAGAATTTAGCAAACTGGTTTAAAAAATTAATAATCAAAACCAACAGCTTTCCTACATGCAACAGTAACTAGCTAGCGAACATCACAATAAAAGATTCCATTTCAAAATGACACAAAAACAAAGTAAAAATTGCTAGGAATAAAATTATTAAAAATGGACAGTATGAAGAAAAATTTTAAACTCTACTGACAAAAGTGAAAGGACAATTGAATCAATGAAAAGATGTATCCTGTTCAAGACAGGAAAATCTACCATGTAAAAAGTATCAGTTCTCCCCAGTTTTACATACAAATTTAATGTGATCCCAATAAAAATAGCATCAGTTCAACATCCAAATAATAGGAATTTCAGAAAGAACAAAGAAAATGCTAAGAAAAAATTATCAAAGAAAAATATGATTTCCCAAGTGAAACATTCTAGATTCTAAGGGCCCTTTGAATTCTCAGCACAATAAATGAAGAAGATAAAAAAGACCTAGACCAACACATTTGATTAAGAAATTACAGAATGAAACTAATAAAAAGGAAGCTCTTAAAAACATACAGGAAGGGACAAAAATAGGCTATAGACAACCAAGCATGAGGACCTCTCAGAAACCAACCTCACTGTGAGTTAGAAGACATCAGTGGAGAAACTCCTTCAAAATTCTGGGGAAAAAGAATTCCTATCTTATAATTCATATCCAGCTGAGGTATCACTTAAGTATGAGATAAAACAGTGACTTTTTGGTGTTGCTTTCTTCATTTTTTAAAAAAGCTATTTATGGTGAAAAAGTTCAAACATGTTTAAAAGTAGAGACAATGGTATAATAAACTTCCATGTACTTGACACCCAGGTTCAACAATTATCAGATCATGGCCAGTCCTGCTTCATCTACACTCTAACCACATTTCCCCCTCCTGTGCTAACAGTGTGTCTCTTTAAAGATAAGGACTTAAGGGGCCAGCCGGTGGCATAGTGGTTAAGTTCGCATGCTCTGCTTTGACCACCTGGGGTTTGCAGGCCCAGATCCCCGGGCACAGACCTACACACTGCTCATCCAGCCATGCTGTGGTGGTGTCCCACATACAAGACGGAGGAAGGTGTGCACAGATGTTAGCTCAGGACCAATCTTCCTCACCAAAAACAAAGGGATAGACTTAAAAATATAAGAATAATGCCATAATTACATCTGAAATAAAATTAAACAATATCATCAGATACCCAGTGTTCAAATTTCCAATTGCTTCATAAACTTCACACACTTTTTAAAAATATAGTTTTTTTAAATCAGGATCCATCTAAGGTCCACGTATTGTAAATAGTTTGCTTTCTGAAACTTTTAATCTATAGTTTCCTCCTCTATTTTCCTTGCAAATTATTTTCTTGCAAATGTTTTTTCCCCCCCTAAAATTTATTTGTTGGACAAACTGGGTTGTGTGACCTGTAATGTTGCCCATGTTGCAGACTGTTTTGCTGACTGCATCCCCATGATGTCAGTATTCTCCTCTGTCCTCCCTATTTCTTGAATATTGGTATTTGGACCTAAAGAGATCAAGGAGTTTCCTTGGCATGCTTTCCTAGGAAGCTAAGGAGGATGTGTTCCACTAAAGCCATGGGTTAGACCAAACACCTGCGATCCAGCTCAGGAGAGAGGCAAGAATGTTCCCCCGGATGATGCAGAGGGAAATCCCCGGACGAGGGGGGATGCGCGGGGGGCGGGGGGCGCAGTCTCAGACGACAGCTGTGTAGCAGATGCGGGGAGCAATGTCCAGACTGGAGCAGGAAAATAGTGAGAGCTCCAAGAAAAAACTGAAATTGTTTTTGTCCCTGACATGTTTAAATTACGCTGAGAGCAGATTTTCAATTCCACAGCAGAGTTAGGACTGACTTGGTGATACCGATGTGGAAGACTAACACATAGAAAAAAATATCATGCTGTAAGAAAGGAAATAAAAGCATAGTCCACTGCCGGTTCAGCCATGAAAAATATTTACCCAGTCATAATAATGTAAATGCTAAATATTGACTTAATTTTAAAGGGCAATATAACTCTATGGAGAGGAGGGGACGAGAGAATAGCCTTCAAGGAGAGTCTGATCTTACCCCTGCCAGGAATGTCCATGGGAGTCGGCCCCAACTAGCCTTCCATTCCTGCTGGTCTAGTTCAAGTATTCATGCATGGATGGTACTTTATCACTAGAATGAGACAGAGTTCAGCAAAGATTCTATCCCTGGTTTTCATTTTCATTGATGTAAGTATGGAGTACCCTTATTCATATAACTAAGTAGATGGGAATGGGAGGAGGTTTGTTACAGCAAATCACTCAATTCTTTGAACTCCTTCCAATTTTATGCCAAAACTCACACAGGAATATATCATCAAATAACTAAAATTTAAAACTTCAAAAAATTTCCTGGGACAATAATACTCCGAGTATTAAAATATTTCTTAATTAAATTAAAAATTTTCTGGATTGACTAGAGAGTGCAATTATTACTAGTATATATTTTATCAAAATGATATACCATTTTCTGTATTATAAATTTTGATAAGCAATTATTAAACTAGAAGGATGAAGAAATGCAATTCCAAAATGTTACTTTCAATTATTTGCTTTCAAAACAAATTGAAGCAGGCATTATGGTCACAGAAAAGTTCTTAAAGTTTTTAAATTATCATACGTATTCTTTATTAAGTATTCTCCATTACAAAGAATATGCTTGGTGATGACTAAAGCTTAAGTATTTTGTAATAGGATAAAGTTATTGGGAAAACAGAATGGAATAGGGTTGTGGGGTGCTGGGGGCTAAGGGCTAGGGTCTGGGGCTTGGAGCTGGAGACCCAGGATCTGGGAGCTGGAGTTCTGTGGGGGAGGTAGAGAAGTCAAGGCTGGGGCTCCTGGGGTCCTGGAGTAACCCCTTTCTTCACCCTGCTTCCCTACCCAGGACCTCAGGCCTTGGTTTCTTCTCAATATGCCTTTTTTTTTTAATGTTCCTAGAAAACGGACATTGTTGTTTTGCCATTATTTCACATTATTTTTTCAATATGTTCCTATTCTTCCATTACCCATTCCAAATTCTGAGAGAATTTAACTATCACAAGAACCCCACTGCTCCCCAAATGTGCTTTGGGGCTCCCCCTGTGAGGGGTACATGTACCCCCGCCTGCCTAGGACCAAAACTCAGGGAAGCAGGTGTTTTAAGAACCAGGGCCATGTGCCTCCTGGGCAGGTTTCCTTTATTCTCCTCAAGACAAGGGGCCTGAACAGGACCATCAAGAGCACTCAAGCATCTCAGAACCCAGGGTTTCCGAACCCGGCCCTCAGAACCTGAAGGAGAAACTTGGAGGTCAGCTCCCCTCTCAGAACCAGAAGTGCTCGCCTCCTTTTGGGAGATCACTATGAAATGGAAATGTTAGGATGCTGGGAAACAGAAACTGGCCCATGGGTTTCTCCTACCATTTATTCCCTATCAAAATTCAAAACTAATTAAATAGAGAACATTTTCTTTCTTTCTTTTTTTTTTTTGTGAGGAGATCAGCCCTGTGCTAACATCTGCCAATCCTCCTCTTTTTTTGCTGAGGAAGACCGGCCCTGGGCTAACATCCGTGCCCATCTTCCTCTACTTTATATGGGACGCCGCCACAGCATGGCTTGCCAAGCAGTGCGTTGGTGCGCGCCTGGGATCCAAACCGGTGAACCCCAGGCCGCCACAGCGAAGCGTGTGCACTTAACCGCTTGCACCACCAGGCCGGCCCCTGAGAACATTTTCTAATAATAAACTCAATGTCAACCATGTGGCTTTAGCAAAACATAACCTATTAAATTATTGTTTTTAATTTGATTTTGTTGGTTTTATAGTTGAAATTTTATTTTGGTTTTATATAGCCATAGGCATGTTATATGTTTGTGTGTAGCATAAAAATAATTTAAATTCACACAGGGGGTCTGCTAGTTTTTTTTTTCTTTGAAGGGGGTCTGTTCTTTGCTCAAATTTGAAAAATATTCCCTTAATGTGTTATCATGACAGACTTTGGAGAGCAGCTATAAAGGAAAGCCTGGCCCGGCTCAGACATGCTCAGTGTAAGTGCCACCTCAGAGGGAGGGCCTGGGAACTGGCACTGGAGGTGCTCCTGGGGGCTTGTGGGTCGGGTGTGGGAGGGTTGTTCCAGAAATGTATAAGGGGGTAACTGAACCATCGCCCTGCAGTACCTGGGGCTCTCAGCTGCTATTGACAGAAATCTCAACTCAGACCCAAAGGGAATGTTCTGGCTTCGGGAGGGACCTGGGCTAGCTGGAGTCTCTGGGATATCCTCAGGACCCTTCCTTCTTATGCCTTGCTGCCCTCTGCATCTTAGTTTCATTCTGGCCAACTGCAGGAGGGATTCTCCCACTGGAGGACAGGAGCAAAGCCCCAGTTAACATCTTCCTAGCTTGGCAGAAGAGATTTCTGCCATTGCCTGTGTATCAGGCCCCATGCGTGTGGACCAGCCTGTGTCCAGGGAATGGCCCAGGCCCAAATCCTGTGCCCACCTGTGGCCAAGAAGAGGAGCTGGTACTACCAAAAGGGGATGAAGGGGAGACTGTGCTGACCAATCATTCCCCATCCCTGTGTGCCTGCTGGGCAGTGTTGCCATAAGCCCCAGACCACAGCAATACCAAGTCCTGGCAGAAGAAGTGGTGACCTGTAGAAGTGGTAAAAGAAAAATTATTCTGACACTTGTAAAAGCAGTAAGGAAGATTTTATTCAAGACTATTGCAATAAGGGAGAGAGATGGGGCTTAACTCTGAATCCAGCAAAGACAGCAGGGATTTATAGCCAAGGAGGAAGGTGAGGGGCCAGTGGATGGAAAATTACTAGGAGGAGACATCAAAGGTAGGGGATTCTTCTAAACCAACCTAACAGGATTCTTGCTAAAGGCCGGCTGAGGACTTAGACATTGAAGGTGGGGGATGAAGAACTTGATCAGATATCAAGGGTGGGCGATTCTCTCTAAACTGACTTAGTGGGGTCTTGGCAGGCCAAGGTGGAGGCCTAGTGGAGAAGAGGGCTCACAGGAGCCTAACTAAAGTTTGGTAAAAGAGAGAGTCTTTGTCAGAAGAGCATCCCAAACTGGGGTTTAGGGACAAAAAGGCCCAGCAGAGAGGAGCTTCTGGTCTCCATTGTTGGAGGGCAAAATCAACTGCAAGAGTATTTTCCTGAATCAGAACACCCCCATGGAGGTCTTGGGGCTGCCGTGGGGGTGTGGGGATGTAAGGGAGGAAAAATAATTTTCTTTCTACTCTTTTATGTTCTGTGAGAGACCTCCCTGTAATAAAAGACAGATTAACAAGAGAAAAACAAACAGAAATTTAACAACGTATACCTCCTGTATACATGGGAGAGACTCAGGAAAACTGAGTAAACCCCCTGAAAATGGCCCAAGCCAGCACCTTAAATACCATCTTCAGCTAAAGACAAAAGAAAGATGTGGCGGGGGGAGGCGGTTGGGAGTCAGTTAACGGGAGGTTACCAGGAAAAACACAGTAAATGTGGATGAGGCTGTTATGCAGATTTAAGTCTGGTGTATTGATGAGAGTTTCTTGTGATTTAATCATCCTTCTCTTCCTGGTACAGAGAAGGAGATATCCTTATAAATGGAGATTTCCCTTATAAATGTAAATTTCCCTTACAAAAGAGTAAATTCTACTCTGTTTTTAGAGCTTCTCCTGTCTCTGCTTTTTATCAAAAATAATCAGTTCAAAATAATCCTTATGCCCACGAGGCATATTTTGGAGTGGCATATTCTGCTATCCTTCAGGGGCAACCCCTAAAAGTGTGAAGTATTTAAAACGAAGGCAAAAGATTACTGCAGACCCCTTTAAACTCATATGAGATCATTGTCTAACAAGCCTAAGGGTCATTTGCTGCTCTAGAGAAATGTAACCTGGTTTGACATACTATTGACATACTGTTGACTACCGATCAGACTGTGACATTAGATATTGACTTACAGATGACTGATACGGTGTAAATGATTTCTCTCCGGTGATTGCGGTTTTCTTGCTCTATGGACATCAGCCAGTTCTGTACCTAATTCAGCAATCTCTTCTCCACGTTCTTTCTTACACTGGCTATATACACTGGTTTCATCTTAAACTGTTTCATTGCTTAGGCAACAGACTTTACTAAGCGTTTGTCAATGAGTTTATGCAAATACTCAAACAAATCACTCCCAGGATGATCTAGCATTCCACCTGCAGAAGAGTTAAAACACTGTCAATCTAGGGGGTGCTGTGGGGATTTTCTGGGTCCCCACAGGTACCAATCTCAGTAAGGGCAGTAGGAGCCCTCTATTTGCATACCTCACACTTTCTAAGTTTAGAAACCTATTGATTCAAATATGCAAAAAAGCCTGGGGCAGGGACTGAGTAGGTGTGAACGACAGCCTGATGGCTCTGCTTAGCATCAATTAGCATTTTAAAAAGTGTCAAGTTGCTGGAAGACCTTTTTTAATTGCTGCTAAACGGAGATTCTAGAGAGACTAAGGAGCTGTCTGTGGGTGTGAATGCTGTACAAGAAAGGTGTCCAAAGAGAAAACGGGAGGTGGGGTGAAATAGGGGATGGGGTGGGGCTACAGCCGTAAGTTCAAAAGGGCACCTATTTTAGGGGATTTCTGAATCCTTAAAGCTTGATTCTGTCACTGAACTTCTTGAATTTTCCATTCAGTGGAGCCTTGGTCCCACGGTGGCCACTTGCCTTTAATATCCATGTGGGTAATGAAGAGACAACGCCAAACACTAAGAAAAAAAGATGCTTTTCTGTTCCTCTGCTGTCATTTTATTGTATTCTTTTAAAGGAAATGGAGCCCATTACCATAACATCACTCCCTTTCCATTACTGAGGATATTTTCCCTTTGAGCAGCTGAGGGTAGCAGGGGGCAGGAGCTGAAGAGCTGTTGTGATTTACCCAGTGTGGAAGTAAACAAAGACTTCCCGAATGAGAACAGGCAGAGGCTACTTATTCAGAGCTTGCTGTGGCAAGGGAGTCAGTCAGCCACCGTCACTTGTGTTTGGCAGAGACTCAAAGGCAGACGGGGGAGTAAGTTCTCTAGTGGGAAAAGGGAGGGCATCAGGTGTGCTCTAATTGGAGATTGTTGGCATGGGGAAGCTGGAGGCAGGCTAACTAGCAGTGGGGCATCCTTTGAGATTGGTTTGGGGAGCATATTTGGGTTTCTCTGGTTGGTTCTGAGTTGGGGAGTGGTGATTAAAACACAGGGAAGCTGCGGTCACTGCCCAAGTGCTGACTCTTCTGGAACTAGTTGCTGCAGAGGTTGTGGGTCAGAGCTCCATTGTCATATATGGTCTGGCCATTGTCCGTTTGTATATTCAGTCTCTTGCTAGGATCGTATTTATCATAAAAACTAAGATCAAGTGGAGGAAATGACTTGTTCTTGGATCAAGGTAAGAGCTCCTGCAAATCTGGAGCACAAATAGCAACCAGTTTAGGAACACCTATTATTACACCTGAAACAGCACTTGAGGGAGCCCTGATCTCCCACTTCCACTGCCACCAGGAAAATGGGCTCCTCAGGCCAGCTGCCAGCGGTAGTTAGATGGGCTGGGTTGCTGCACTATGGTCCAAGGGAGTGAGGGTGCACAGCTGCCACGGCGCCTCTCCAGAGCTTCAGATCAATGGGCTTCAGAATGCTTCATTAGGGCACTGTTAGTCAAATAGCACATTCAGTGGGAATGCCCATGCTGTGGTAGGAGCCAGGAATGGGAAAGACACCTGTGTGGTGGGTCAGGGATGAGGTGTGGGCAGCCGTGAGGGCCTGAAAGCTAACCCTCTCTAAATGGTCCATTGACCTGGTCAAGAGGGAGACAGAATTGGAGGAAGGTCCAGTGATGAAAGACAGATTAATCAACAGAAGAAATGGACCAAGGAGAGCTAGAAAACCAAAATAACTGCTGTCACCACAGTTCACTAGGTTGGAACGGAATCCGTCTTATACTTTGGCTCAGGCTGCTCAGAGCAACATGATAGTGAATGAAAGAAGAGCTCTCAGCAACGGCTGGTCACAGTTTTCCAGAGAGACAGACTGCCCAAAAGGACCTTCAGATCCTTTCTTATTCTTGTCTCTAAGCAGAGAAACACTATTGCTTACATGCTCAAAGTTGGTGTGTTTGGAAAAATTATCTTTCTTATTTGCCTCCTTCCCCAGACCCCTTGAAGCTGGGCACCCAGGCTAGAGAGGAAATGTGAGGTCAGTGGAGGCCCCTCCTAGAAACCCTACCCTGGGTGGTTTCTTCACTTGAAGGAAACCTGGCCTTTGAGACGATGTGGAAAGAACTTTGGATTTAGAGTCAGAGGTTGACCTGGGTATTGGGTGACCCTGGCTAAGGCACTTTAACTCTTAGCGTTTATTTTAGAACCTGCCAAATTTAGGGATACTATCCCTGTCTGAGCCAGGTCACACTCTCATTCTTTTTATTGCAGTGTGATAGAAAGCCAGGACTCTGAGAGACAGACAGCAACAAAGGGTTTCCATCTCTTACTCGCTATGAAAGGCAAGTCCTATAAAATCCACACATTACAGTCATGCACTGCATAGCATTCAGCCAATGATGGACCACATATATGACAGTGGTCCCACAAGGTTAGTACCTTATAGCCTGGGTGTGTAGTGGGGCTATACCATCTACCGTCTGTGTAAGTACACTCTAGGATGTTCGCACAACGACAAAATCGCCTAAGGATGCATTTCTCAGAACATGTCCCCATCATTAAGCGATGGATGACTGTATTTGGCTGCCACTTTCTCTGTCTGAATGTGAGATTCTACACTTGACCAAATGCCTCAGAGCTAGTTTGGTTTGCTTGTCTTTGGGAGCAAAATAAGAGGGCTATGACGAAGGCTGTATCTCTGCCACCTTTCCTAGGGGCAAGGGATCCTGATATTTCTGTCTCTTTCTCCAGGGCAGAAATTCTGGGTTAAAGGTGATGTTTAATCACAATGCTCTTCCCTCATGTGGGACACAGTGAGACATGACTCCCCCTAATCTCGTTGCTGAAATGTTTTTCAACAAGCAAGCATAATTTCTAAACAAAGAGGGAAAATTTACCAGATATTTGCAAAATTGCGTGTACTTTTTCTTGTTGCAGATACATAGTACATGTCCTAAAAAGGAACATTCAATCATTGGATAGTCTTACAAAAAAGACAATTGTTCTATTCATTCTCTCTGCTGCCAGTGAGAAAGAAAAATCTCCAGCATCATAAAGGAGATTTTCCCCAAGGTCTCCCAGAATAGTGCTGGAGTTTCTTTACCAGTCAAATGTTGCACCAGCTTGGTCTGTGTTTGCATTCTGGAAACAGGGCACGACCAGTAAAAATATATCCTCGTGATGAAAAGAATTTTTCTTTTTCTTGCAGACAGAGATGTGTGTTGACTGAGAAAAGACAAGGTTCTTGCTTAAGTTTGGGGGTGAGAGAAAAGAAGGCCAGGAATAAAAGACTCAACAATTTTCTTCTTCCCCAAAGTGAAGCTTTTGATCTTACAAAGTGAGAAGAAGCTTACCAAAGAAGGGAAAGTTGTCCACAGAGTTGCTGTGGAATTGAGCCTACAGGGGACAGGACGGCTGAGTGAGATGTGAGCGAGCTTCTTAGCATCCCCTCAACATCACCCCACCCTGCCCAGGAGCTCAAGGGTCTCCTCAAAGCTGACCTCAGTGGCCACAACCAGTCAGTTAAGGGACTTGCTCAGGGTCACACTCTGACCCAGAGACCATGGTCATGGTTCATCTCAGTTTGCACCACAGATGGTTATTCCAGGAAAGAACATTTTTGGGACCATCTTTACAACAGTTCTGGAGACTACAGTATCCAAAGTTGACCCCATGTCTATAAGCATTTCTAGTGGCCATGCAAGGACCTTGCAGGCCAGTGTGGGCTGCTGCATGTGACCAGTGACTTGGATGAAGGCTGAGAGGGTCTAAGCATCAGCCTGCAGATGCTGCTG